TATCTCTATAACATCTCCAGCTTTGGCCAGGCACTGAGTTGAACAAGCACCTGCAATTCTGAAATCAACCACCAAGGAAATTTCTGTTTGCCAGAGCTATGCTTTGTAGGGGTTTTGATCAAAGTGTGAGATGCTGGTTTTGGTTCCCATGCTTAGGGACGCTCTCTCTACAAATGAAGTTTGTTCAAGTAGTCACAGAAGTGAAATCTTGCCATGAGAAAAATCAAGCCTCAGGGTTAGGCTGGAGTTTTGTATGCTGTGCATTCAGATCTCATAATCTTTTCAGCTTTGCTTCACACAGTAATTTTCCAAACTTTCTTCGATTGATTAGTGGCACCTCAAGGTTGATTTCTATCTGCAGCAGTCCATCTGGCACTAGCCATTAGTGCTTTCTAATACACAGAAAGTAATTCAGTGTTTGACTTTAATTAGTAAATGAGTTTGTGTTGGAGTTGGGGTGTTGGGTTTTTTCTCCTAAATGATTCTTTTTTCCTTTGTCTTAACTGACACTGAAGCAAAAAATAACCTGCTCTTGAATGGATTATAGCCAAGAACTTGCAAAAATTTTGGCAGAGCTTAAAGACAAGGATTTTTATGATGAAAACTTCTTGACATAATAAAAGAAATTGTTCTGCAGAGACCTTTGAAGTGACCCCAGAAAAACAACATAAACCTCCTGTCTCCCTGGGAACAATGAGGAGGACTGAGTTAATGGCCAGCATCTTTAATCTACATCTCCTCTGTGATTTTCACTCTGGAGTTTTAGATTGATTCTGATTAGCTTGAGTAGAAGACCTAATTCTGTCCCCAATTATGCTCATCTGATTTAATGTAGCACCTTTGTTACAACTGAAGGAATTATTGTGGCATGAGCGAACCAAGAAGATCAGAATCACAGAACAAAAGACATTAAAAAAAATAAATCTGATTGTCCATTCTCATCCTGCTCATATTAGTATGGTGATCAGGAAGCGCCTGACTGGGGACTGCATGAATGGTGTCCAAGCCAAAGATCAATTCGGTCAAAATCTGGTTTTATGTTCACCTGAGTGAGCTTTCCGCTAAATCCTTGCAGTGATGGGAGAGAGGATCAGACACAAGACTCAGGGCTTTAGTACTGAGCCTCATAGGAATTAGTGAGAAACAAATAATTTATCCCATCCCTGCCCATGTTGTGTGAGAGATAAAGGACTGAATGAGCAGGCAAGGAGAATCAGACTGAGCATCGTACAGGGTCTCTCATGGGTTCGAGGACAGGTCTGTTCTCTGCCCAGTCTCTCAGTCCTTCAAGGGCAAAAATCATTTCCCCATGCTAAGGGGGCAGCTCTGTCTTTCCCCCTGGGTCTGCAGCATGTCATTACAGTTGGCAGCACCCTCCAGGACAACCTTGCCAATCATCTTAATTGAATCTTTCAGCTATTTCCTTGCAGCTGCCAATTTTAGTGTGCCACGTATCTTGCACATCTTTTTCATCAGACCAGAATTAGGAAATGTGTTTCTTGCCATCTTATCTCTGTTGATAAATAATTGTGTGTTGCATTTATTGGAAGCTTTGAACTGGTACATTTGGAGACACTGTTTAATATGTCTGTCTGTGAACAATCATGGCTTGAACAGAATTTAATTATTGAGAACGAATTGCTGAGATTGGAGAGCACAAGAAGGGTGCTCCAGGTCCTTGGAAGACATCTATAAAGGGCTTGGAGGGCCAAGTGCTGGAGCTGCAGTCAACTGGATTAATCAGGTTGGGAAGTGAAGAGAGGAGGAAGATATTTCTGCTTAGTGAAGTAGGTGATACTGCATTCAGGGTCCCCCAAGGGAGGAACAGCAGGAAAGGCAGCGCTGAAAAAATATATCCATGTTCTTGGGACAATAGCAAGAGTTGTATTTCCCTCTGTGTTCATCTGGTCTGAGAATAAACGTGCAGAATCAAACTGTGCATTGCAGCAGTGAACCTCGCACCCGTGCGGATGCCTTTGACTTGGTTCCAAAAATAGTTAAAGAGTTTAGTTCACGGTGTTATACACCAGCTGTTGGCAAATTCAAATGGTCTGGTTCTCATTTACACCAAGGCCTTGCCTGGGATGTGCAGTGGGATCTTGGAGTAGGTAAAAATGTACTTGTAAAGTCATTCAGAGCACTTTAAAGGAGAGCATGAAAGAAGTCCACAGCATGGCAAGAATCAGGCTGTAAAAATCATAGACACTGTTTCAGTCCAGACAGGTGGCTAGGCATGTGTGCTGTCCTGCATTTCTCCAGAGCTATTTGATTAAAAAAAAGACAGCAGATATCTGTGAGCACACTCCCTTACAGGATTGCTAGTACTCTCTAATCCTTGGCAGCTCAGGAATCCTTCCCCTAGGTACTGCTGCTTTTATACTGGGTGGTGAGTCCAAGAATGAATCCACATTCATTTTTTGAAGATGTCAAACAGGAGAACAAAAGCTCAGTGGTCTGTTTATCCCTCCTGTGTCCCTTTGGTTTACAAGTGAGTAGTAAATAATGCAAATTCTAATTACATCTTAAATATTCTGAGAGCCGGATGAGCATTGTCAGCCCTCCAGAGGAGAACTGTGGTGTGTTGCTTGATTCTTGCTGAAAATGCTGTCTAGCATGCAAGAAGAATACTTCTATAAATGTTGGTTGGCTCTCATTCTTGTCTCAGCAGCTGTTTCCCAGGTGGGGAGCTGGCAGTGCCTGCAGAAGCCCAACAGCAGCCCTCAGGTAACTCCTTTTGTAGAGAGGGCTCTGTGTTTAATCGTTTTAATACATTTGATTTGAGGATTGCCACCCAAATGCAAAGTCGGTGAAGAGGTGTATCCAATATGTTTGGAGTCTCTGGGCTCGTTTTTCATCCCCAAGTGTAAATGGATGGAGCACCTGCTGTGCCAGCTGTGGCAGCCTGATTCTGAAATGCCTGTCCAAATAGAGGGGAAGGAAGGGAGAGGACTTTGAACAGTGCAAAGGAGACTATTTCTTAGGCAGTTGGCAGTGATTTGGTTTAGCCTTGTGTCACCTCCCAATTTGATCCCTCCAGCATCCCCATGAACCTACACAGGCATCAAGTGCAAGAGATGATCAGCTGCCGTGCACAGCCCACACAGGCAAGCAATGCGGCTGAAAAGAACTTTGCTCTCTATAAATGTTTCAACCGTGTTAAAGGAAAGGCAGAAAAGGGCAGTTTGAGTTTGATTGCTTGTCCGTTTCACACCGCTGAACAGACTGATTACTGCCTGTGTCTGCCCAGACAGCTTAACCCCTTCTCAGACTCCAGGGCGAATAACAGCACTTGCATCCGCACGAAAAAATGTGTCTGTTGCTGAAAACTTTCTACCACAGATTGATCTCTGGGATTCCTATTGACCAAAAGCATTCTTTGGTTTTGTTAAAGCTGTGCCACTGGAAGCATAGCATTGCTGTCTGATATCTGTACATCACTAACCAACAGTGAGGAAGTGATATGAAAGAATATCTAATGCATGTAATGAGGAACAGAAGTGGGTGCAGTTGGTGTAAATGCAGCCAGCATGTCATCAGACCTGATTGCTCAAAGTCTTTAGCAATGCTGACAGAGTAAAACAAATGCAGAGACAATTTTTACCTGCTCTTTGGCAGATTGTGTTTATTGGTTTTAGCGTGGAGCTGTATGCGCTGGCGGCTTCTCACCCAGCTGCACGATGGGTGGTAACTTGCGTGTGCTTCACTGTGGGAAGTGGGTTTGAAAACTTGCTGGCAAGACATCACCACATTTGACTTTAGGGTGAGAGGAATCAAGAGTAAGTAGTGTTTTTCTTCCAGCACCCATGAGCTGATGCAAGGTGCTCTGACAGTCTCAGGGAAACTGTGAGTGCAGATGCTTGTGTGTACGGCAATGCTCTCCTCCTCGCAGATGTGGTCATATACCAAAGATCCATATCTAGGAGCTTCTTCCAGCTCCTTGAGTAAAAAAACAGGAGAAGAGACAAGGATGCTTGTTTGACTTCCCTGCAAGTGTTTTGCCCTGATGCTTCAGGTGTGACAAGAACATTGTTTTATTTTAAAAAGTGCTTTATGGATCATCTTTTCTGTATGCGCCATGCAGAAAGTCCTCTACACCAATAAGGCTTGATCTTTTTCTTGTTCACAGCAAGCTAATTCACAGTTCCATCGCTGCAAACATGGTTTAAATCAGGAATGATGCCACTGAAATTGGAGGCAGGCAGCAATGCTAGGTTTATGCTAGGACCACCAAGGCTCGCATTAGGTATAGTGAATGGGATACGTCAGTGCAAGTAAATTCAGACAGGAGCTTTGATTTTGTTGGAAATTGTGCTGGCATTTCAGCTCTAGGACTAGTAGCAAGATAGCACTAGAAGTTTGGTATGTTTTATCTAAATAAAAACTGTAAATTACATGGCAGAATTCGCTTTGCTCTGCACACAGCCTCTGTGGTGTTAATTAAATCCTCAGCTGCTTTTTTAGTGGAAGGAAGACTGAGAAAAAGAATATGAAATCAATTGTACATTTAATTAAAGTAACTCTCTTTCATTCCGATGCTTTCCCACTATATTGATGATGCAGTTGTAATGGTGAGCCACTAGGAATCGCAAAGAATTCGGTTTTACAGAAACAAAATTGACTTAACTTAGGAATTTTATGGGTAGCATTACAAAACCAGGAGCCTAAGGTGAAAGTCCAGATCTCTGCACAGAGAAGCTTTTGCTTTGTTTATACTCCTTCCTTGGAATTCCTTTGCACTGGCTGAGAACCAGTGTTTCAGATGTTTTATTGTAATGTTTTATCATTTTAATCATGCCAGATTCCTGTAGAAATCTCAGGCCAGTCCTTTGGTCACACATTGCTGCTATCCTAAGCCAAATGGGAAAAGAAGTGCAGCAGGTCTGGATGGATCCTGAGAGATGCTGTGGAGTGATGAGTACCAGGCACTATCAGAAGATTGATGTTTACTAACTTTTTGATTGACTCTCGTTTTTACACTTTCTTTCTCTGTCTTCCTGTAGGTTATAACCCTGGAAGGATGGGTTGACATCATGTATTATGTGATGGATGCACATTCTTTTTACAATTTTATATATTTTATATTGCTTATAATAGTAAGTATGAACTGTGAGATGCTCCCGTTCCTTGTTCTTGTCAGGTAAAGCTGTACCCGGGGCTTTTCAGAGAGGAGAGCCAGCTAGTGTTCAGAGTGGGAGACTTTCCTCCCGCCATAAAGCATAACCATGCAGGTTGTGATTAGTGCTGTGGGGACAGATTATTGGCTGCAACAGTCCTTTTTAGTGTCACATGTGATGCACAGTCACAGCTTGTCAAGCCATATGGTCTTCCCTCCCTCTTACTCTCCCAGTCTTGGTCTTGTCACCTTGATGTGTCCTAACTGTTGTGCCTTGGCCAAGCAACTGCTAATCAGAACAAAAAGCAGAGAGGCCATAGCTTTTCTTCCTTCAGCCTCCTCAGTGTGCCAGAGGACACCTCATTTCAGTGAAGGGCCCTCAAACTATTGAACTTCACCTGAGCCCTTTAACAGTAATAATAGCAGTGCACCTTTCTGAGGTCTTACAGTGCTGTCGTTCCTAAAAACAAAATATTACTCACTGGAGGTGCTGGAGGTTGCTTTCAGAAGCTGCTGTTCCATGTTAGCAAGGTTCTTTTTTTACAATGGGCGCAACCTTTTCCAGAGGCCTGCATCTGTGGAAAAGTTAAGCATTTAAGTCAGGAGGAAAGCAAAGGTAAAAGTACCATGTAGATGTCAGGCAGGACATGGGACGGAGGCACTTCGAAGTGCTTTTGTAGCTAGATAATCTTTATATATAACCCCATCCTCGTCAACTTGGTTTTGAAGGCTTTGGGAAGTCAAACCACCACAGCTGTCACCACAAGTGGGAAAGGCACGGATCAGAGCAGTGTGAGAGTTTCCCAGTAAGGGATAGCATTCTGAAGCCAGTCATTTTCAAGCCTTTAGCAATGGGCCATGCATAGGAGGGATTCACACTCCACTCTTCTGAGCCCTTCTCTACATATGGATCCTTGCAGAAAAGCCAGAAGGTGACTAATCTCCAAGTCACTTGGAGCTGGGAATGGCACCCTTGCTGCTTCTCAAACAGCATGCAGGCTGATATTACAAACTGGAGAATAGCACTGCAAACCATCTCCCAACAGCTTCCCCTGAGGATTCACCAGACAATGGTCCAGATTAAATCCATACGTTTCCTACTGAGCGCAGCACAGAGGTTTGGCCATGTAGACGGTGGCACTTTCTTGACGTCAGTCCCTTTCACGCCGAAGGGCACTGATTCTCTGATGGGAATATTTGACATTTTGCTTTGGCTGATTTATGAACCCAAGTGGTGAAAAAACAGTTTGTGGACTCAACAGCTGAGGAAAGGACGTAGCCTTAGGTCACTTCACATTCTTGTCCTTGGGACTTCATTTTGAAAACCTGGTATCACCCAAGAACACATCAACTCAACCAGACAATAAATCAGGCCTTTGCAGGAGCACTGAATCTTCTGGAGATGCATTTCTCTGTGTCAGAGAGATACAAGAGTACAAGGTCACAGATGCATGGACCCCAACTGTCCCCCTCAAAATGAGGGTGTACTATGCCAGGGTGCGAAGTGATAGAGGAAGAGACAATTTCAGTACAGCACAAATTGGACTTCAGACCGTCTTTCCTTGCAGGTTGGCCAGGTGTTTCCTAGTGATCTGTTTTGTGGTGGTAACTGATTGTCTTGTGTTTCATACGCCCTGTGTTAGTAGCAAATGTCATCACTGTTGAGGGGAGGAAAGTGGTGAAGACTATTGTTAACAGTTTTCTTTGCCATTGCCAAAATAATTTAACATGGCCTAGGAGCAAGTTTAGCAGCTCAGGCACATGTTGACATAACATTTGGTGAGCAGACCCTGAGATTTGGCATGTTTGGAAATTCTAAGAACCACACTTCAGACAGCATGTGGTGGTGAAGAGTGTGTCTTGCTTTGTAAAGTCCCTGCTAATTCTTTTCCCTGTGTTTTCTCCAGGTTGGTTCCTTCTTCATGATTAACTTGTGCCTGGTTGTGATAGCAACACAGTTTTCTGAAACAAAGCAGCGGGAGAACCAGCTGATGCAGGAGCAGCGGGCCCGTTATCTCTCCAATGACAGCACAATTGCCAGCTTCTCAGAGCCAGGTAGCTGCTATGAGGAGCTGCTCAAGTACATCTGCCACATCTTCAGGAAGGTGAAACGGCGGACAATACGCCTGTACAATAACTGGCAGAGTAAGCGCCGGAAAAAAGTTAACCCAAACAGCACCACCAATGGGCAAAGCCACCGAGGCAAAAAGCGCATCACCTCTATACACCACCTCATCCACCATCATCATCACCACCACCACCACCACTATCACATCAGCAATGGGAGCCCTCGGGGGCCACGCTCCAACCCTGAGATCTGTGACCTGGAACTCAAGGTCATGAAACCTGGAGGCCAATTGATGCTTCCTTCTCCATCACCCAACTTGCAGAGCCCTGCTCCTCCTCCAGATTCGGAGTCTGTGCACAGCATTTACCATGCAGACTGTCATGTCGAAGGACCACAAGTGAACTGTAAGTCTTCCAATGCCCCTGCAAGCATTAAGCTGACTGCTGGACTCTCCAACCATGGCAACATGAACTATCCTACCATCCTGCCTTCCCCAACTAGCAAAGCCAGTTCTGTTCCAGTTCCCAAAGGAAAGAAGAATGGCAATTCACCTGTGGCTGTGGTTAATAGTCCTGTAAATTTGGGCATGGATTCTTATGGGAAGCTGCAGCAACTGGTAGGAGAGCATGGTAAGGACAAACCTGATTTATTTTTTTTTTGTTTAGGAAAACTAAGTAAAGGGCTAATTGCTCAAGAGTCAAGGTGTCAATGATAGCCACATAGGGTGCTGAAGATGGAGGCTGTTTTGTGAATGCTATTTGAACTGAGCACTGAAGCCAGAAGTAAGACAGTTGAGGGACTGAGAGCTCTGTTCCTTCTACCCTTGTATTTGCAGTCATTGGGTAAAGCAAGATACAGGATGGTCCGGGCAGTGAGTTCAGAACTCTGCTGGAGGTATCTTTCTCATGGTTACAAAGCACATGGTTTTGAGCTCCTCTCATGTGCTTAGTGATACCCTGGAGGTTCTCCCTCTGTTCCCACCCAAGAGCAGATCTATACAGCCCCTGGAATTACATTTCTCGTGAATGACGGACCTGCTGGCTGCAGCCCTGCAGCAGAGAAGGTACATTGAAAGGGAAGAGCAGGTGGAAGCTGATGGAGAAGGATAAGCTATAGGAAACATAAGAAGTTTAAAACAGAGGCACTGAAAGAACTCAAAACAAACACTTCTAGAAACTCCTAGTTCTACTCTGACAGGCCCCTGAGCCTCTGAATTACTTTTTGGCAAGAAGGAGCAGAAGGTTTGGAGGAAGTCTCACGGCCACTGCAGGGTCTTTCTCTGTGCTAGTCCTCAGAGGATGCGTGCGAAGGCAGGAGTGTAGCAGAGCTACAGGTCTCAGGCTTTCCCTCTCGTCTTTCCCCATGTGCAGGATAATACAGGACTGTTACTGCAGATGTGGAGTTCCATTCAATCTGAATGAATGAGGAACATCCTGAGGACTCTTTTGTACCTTTAGTCCATCCCTGTCTGTACAGACTGCAGCCACACCAGCACTGCTAATTAGTGTAGTTTTATCTCCTTTCACATATAAATCACACACTGCTAGAGTAGTGATTACATGCAACACTTAAGTTTCTATTTTGCAAAATGCTTCCAGCCCTCATGGCTGGAGCTAAAGGCTGAAAAATAGAGTCTTAAGCACTCAAACAGTAAAAAGGCAAAAAGATCTAGCTTCTAGTTTTTCAATTTCTTTAAGCCAAACTTATGATCTGTTTTTTTCAGTGCCTGTGTTTTACAAAACTGTTTATCTGCATGTGCATGGACACAAATACTTATCCTAGTGATGTATGTGCTGAAAAAATACCAAGCCTAGCTTGGGGGGGTCACAGTAAAGGTTGCTTGCCAAATAGGTTGGTTGGCTTGTGTTTGTTAATTTTTTTTTTTAAGTGACCATACAAAAGGGTAAAGTGGATTGTTTATAGAAATTGCCTTCAGCGGACATTTCTGTACGCGTTGGAGCTTAGTAGGAGGGCAGAAGGGGGCAAGGTTAGTTGCAACGTTCTTCCGTTGTTAAGCAAGGGCTTTATATGAATCACTGGTTCATCTTTAACTATGCAAGTTAATGAAGGTTATTATGAGAATGTGTATTTACCTTGAGATAAAAGCCCAGGCTCTGCAAAAGTCTGGAACTGGGAAAGCAAGGATGAGTGGGAAGAGCTGTTGCTTGGAAGGCAATGCTCAAGTCAGAGGTTTAGTTCTTCATGCTTGAAAGGGGATTTGCTGCTGGGGTCTTCAGGAGAGGAAAGCCCCAGATCCCAGTCCCAGCTGTGACATCCCAGGGCACTTCATTGACTTAGGAGATTTTCACGTAGCCCGTGGTGGTTCTTCGAAAGCCGGAGGTTACATGGAGATGCTATTAATTATGCAATTATAGTATCCTCTTTTTACAAAGGCATTTCAGTCCAGAGGATGCCAAAATGCTTTAAACAAACCTCCTGAAATTGTTTTGTGTCTTTCAGAAGTGTGGTTATATGTAGGGGAAGGGGTGGATGCTGCAGCTTTTGGCTGGTGAGCTGCAGCTTATCTGGCAACCCAAGGAGCACGGGGGCTGGGAAGGGAAGCGAGTCGGCCGGGTCCATCTGGAGACCCTGTCACACAATGTGTCAGTGCCCAGCTCTTCCCCTCTGTGGCCCTGGCTCTTTCCAGGCCCTCCTGCCACACCAACAGGGCTGAGTCAGATTCACTTCTGCACCGCAACCATCTCTGTACAGCAGGGATGATGGATGTGTCTTCCAGGCTTCAGGAGGATCTTTAGGTGCCAAACAAGCTAGCTCCTGAGGATGTAGTTCTGCCAGGCACAGCTCCCAACTCATATTTCTCCATCCCAGTCTAAACTTATCAAAGGAGCCATGTGAAGTCCCTACCCTGTGCTCAGCAGGGAAGGTGAGGTGGGCTCAGAAACTCACCCAACCCTTCTGGTCAAACAAAGAGTTATTTCACTTAATTCTCTCTCCGCTCTTACAATTCAACAAGCAGAGTCTGTTCACTGCAAGACTTGTGCAAGGAGAGTACACAAGTGATAATTGAGAGCATTAAGGAGGCGTTAGCAGCCAGGGCACTCACAGCCCCAGCTGGAAACAAGGTTGGTGTCTGCTGGGAAAGATGCAATTGTGGGAGAGAGTATTCTCTTCCCTTCTTTTGTTGTGGAATTGAACAGCATAAAGTACAGCCTGTTCCTCCGTGTTCTCGTGCCCTGCAATGCTGCGAGGTTATTTTAGCAGGCAGCCAAGGAGACTCTGGTATTTTGAAGACATCTGCGGCGCCAGTATTTTTCATATAATTTTTAACACTTTGATAGCATTAAAAGACGTCTGGCAAGCCCACTACCTCTGCTATCTGCACTACTGTGGCTGTGCTGCCGTCTTTCCTTGTCAGACCATTCCCGATCAGAAATGCTGTGCTAACATGCAGTGCTGCACCGGTGCTGCTCACGGGTTGAGTAAGGGGGCAAATGTGTCTGATCCTCCTGGCGTCTTTGACATACTGACCAGGAGGAAGACAGCCCTCTCTTGCAAGGCTGTTCTGAAGGCCAGTGATATCCGAGTGACATTCAGGCAAGTAAAGTATCTTTTGATTTGTCACAACCCAGTTTTCAAGCTAATGGGGTGCTTTATTTCATTTGGCGCTGCCTTCTCTTTAAAGACGTCCTCAAGTGTCAGCCAGGAGTGGCTGAAATCAGCAGCATGCCTGCTGGGTGAGCTTCAAGCTCCTGGGCCCTAAGCCAGGAGCATCCACTGCCTTTTGCTTGGTCTCCCCAAAACTGATCCAAGTGTCCCCATCCAACCTCTAGACAGGGGCATGTTATGGGGGGGTGGGGGGGTGGGAACTTTCCCTTCACATTATTTCCCTGAACCTCAAGGAAGGTTTTCATTGACGCTTGAATGGCATTTTGTAAGAAGGAACCCACGTTTGCAGTATTGCATTCCTGTTGGGTTTTTCCTGCCATTAATATCTGGTTCCTAAATATGAGGAAACTAGGAATTTAGTTCCTAAATAAGAGGAAATAAGATCTAGTTCCTGTTCCACCCAAATCATCCTCGTTACTCTTGTCCATATCATCTCCATATCCTGGCTCTGTGAGGGCATCCAGCATTTCTCCTCGCACCACAAAACATGTGGCAATGTGTTTGATTTTAAAACACCCTGAACACTCAGTCCTGTGCCTCAAGCAAAGAATTCACCTGAGCTTTATTAAAGGCTGAAGGAGGGATGAAGGAGACTGAAGGGACTACGTGACTCTCCAAGCTGTGATCCATGGTTTGTAGCCACCTTTGGTCCATTTCTCCCTCTCCCTCCTCATTATTAGCTAAATGGAAGCGCTATCTAAATTGGGTGTAACAGCTTGATAGCGCTCAGATCACCACTAATGATGTTAGCCTGGTCAGATATAATCAAAAATAATTGAAAGTGAGGGGTGTGCCAGTCAGTCTTACCACAGGTGCAGAGCACAAAATGGTTGCCGCACTGTGTGGAGAGAGGTCCCTCGGCCCCGTGTCCGTGGAGGGGGCTAGAGTGTGGGTGTCGGGGCTTGGGGAGAGGGGAGCAGAGGGAAAAAATGAGGCAAAGTGAGAGGCGCCTGCTAAGACAGATGACTAGAAGGCTGTATTAGGGTATTGCATTTATTTGAGGAGGCAGCAGAAGCTGCCCAGCAGGGACACAAGGCTATCCGCCATGTTGAGGGTGTGAGGTGGCTCACGGTGTGTATCTCCCCTTGCAGGTCTGCGGCGGACACCCAGCCGGCTGTCAGGGCTGAGCGCGGCCTGCCCGCTGCCCAGCCCACCAGGTGGCACGCTGACCTGCGAGCTGCAGGACTGTCCCTTCTGCGCCAGCCTCCTGGAGGACCCCGAGTTCGCCTTCAGCGAGTCCGACAGCTGCGAGTCTGACAGCAATGGCGTCTATGAGTTCACCCAGGACCTGCGGCATGGCGACCACAGAGACCAGCTCCAGCAGCAGCGGGGCAGGAGGAGGAGGAAGAAGAAAAAACCCAAGGAGAGGAACAAGGTCATCCGCCTGTGGAAGGCTTTTGGTAGCAAGCTGAAGAGGATCGTGGAGAGCAAGTACTTCAACCGGGGGATTATGATAGCCATTCTCATCAACACACTGAGCATGGGCATTGAGTACCACGAGCAGGTGAGTGAAGGACTGGCCTCAAGAGCCCTGAGGGTCTGTGGTTTCAGCTGCTCACGGCATGGCGGCTTGCGTGGTGGCTTGGGGTGACTGTCGAAGCCATGACAGAGCAGGAGCAAGTGGTTTTCATGCAATTTGGGAACACTAAATGCGGCCGAGGGCCTGATCCTGCAGACGTGTGATGAGCAGGAGCATCCTTCTGTGTGCAAAAAGCCTGGAAGGTGGCTGGCAGCACTGCTGAGGTGTGGAGAGTTTAAATGTGTCAGAGCCTGACTGCTTAAGTTGTTTGCTGTGAATCATTCGTATAAGTGTGAGTTGTTCTGATGGAAATACCCCTTTGGTCTGATCGTGGTGCAGAGTGGACCTTGTAGTGCAAATAACCCACGCAGAAGTTTCTTCTTTGATCCTGGACCTTTAAATAAAGACTTAAACTGTCAGGCAATGCTAAAAGCGACAAGGGGGGAAAAAAAAGTGAGTTTCTCACTGAAGGCTCCAAAACCTTTGATTTGATCTCATAGGGTGCAAGTACGTCTTTCTTTTAAGTGTTTGGAGGGAGGAAAAGATAAATCATTCTGTTCTCAGTATTAGTCTGAACATGGTGATGGCAGAAAGCAGTGCTGGCAGCTGAGGACAACTTGTCCTTGTTGTTGGCTGATGGGAGCTTGAGGGGCTGTGCGATGGGAGAGGGAGGTGAGTCATCTGAGTATCTCCAGTTGGTCACTCTGGGGAAAGCTGTGCTTTTCTGGGCTTTTCTTTCTTGGAAAAACTGGTTACTCTCAACCATTTTCTCAAAACATGCTCTGGAATTTCTCATGCTGCCTCTCTATCAGGTGTGGAAAATGCTTCCCAGTGAGGCCAGGAGATCCTCATACAGATTTTCTATGAGGTGGATGGTCAAAGGTTCATCCAGTGCTCCCCCAAAATCTCCACTGCAGAATCAGGTCCAGGTCAAGGTTATTTATAAAGCTATTCCTCCTCTTTGCCTCAGTCTGTCTGCTCAGGAGTGAGGAGAAAAGACAGACAGAGCAGTAAAGTATATCTTTTTATATATATATATATAAAGGCAAGACAAGAGACTCTGTATTTTCTTCTCCATCATTTCCCAGGATTCAGTCCTGCTCAGGACCATGGCAAACAATCCTCCAAAGTGCTGCTGCTTTGTTTTCTCTCCACTTATGTGCTTTAAGCCCCTATGTTCTATGCTATCTGAGGCACATTTTCTTTCAGAAAAGCAAGTACTCAGCTAAAGCACATGAGCCTCAGCCATGCAACAATAAATTAGTTCACACTTACAGCAGAAAGCGTCCAAACCCAGCAAAGAAATAGTTGTCGCTGTCAGCTTTCTGTCTTGTTAGTTGTTCCACAACAAATTTTAAAATTAGGAAATACACCTTGTCAGTCACCTTTGAATAGACCATTCATTCCTTGCAGTGGCTGTGTTTCTGCATGGATACTCTTTTGTGAGGCAGATACAGCTTTATCAGCCCTTGGATATTGCCTTGATGGGTGCTGAGGGAAAACCTTAGGCTGCAGTGAGAAAGCCCAGGGATCACATGGAGTCTGTCCACAATCACTCGTATAAAGGTAAATTGTGATAATTACATCCTTGCTGCTAACAAAGGAAAACCATAGCCGGCAGGTTTATATTGGATTTTGCCTTGTAAAAGATTTTTCTTTAAACCATCTCAAAGCCAATGGCAATAAAGATTCTGAAGCTTTTGGCTACGGAGCATCAGACTCCCGCCAGCTTTGCTCGCAGGCACTGCCCAGTGTGGGCCCAATAAAGAGGGAGAAATTTTGAAGTGAAAACCTGTAAAAGTTCCTCCACATGCCTGACTGCAAAGTGTCTCTGGTACGCAGTGGGGACAACGAGCCGTGGAGCTGTCAGAGCCCAGCTTGGAAACACCTCACCCAAGCACCCTCCTATCAACAGCATGACCTCCAGGGCATCGCCAGAGGCACTGTCCAAAAGTAATAGAAAATGGGTCTAGGCTCCCAGACTCTTTGGCATGAAAGTCTGGGGCTTCTGTGAACAAAGCGGGGTGATTTTAGAACCCTCAGCCCTTCTCGTGTGAGAACTGGCTGCAAGACTTGGGGTGGGGGGCTGGCTTTGTGTGGAGATAAGGAGGATATGCCTGAGCAAAGCTGTCAGGAAGCCACAGCGTGCTGTTGGGGTGGAGGGGAGGTGAGAATGGCTCGTTTGGGTATGCTATGATCCTTGCCAGGAAAAACAGTTTAATTACAGCTTTCTGGTTAGTGAGTGACAGATGCTGCCCAGTCACTCTGCACCTCTGCTTAGAGCAGGTATTACAAGGGGAGAAGGTGTGAGCCTTCCCCAGGCTGTTAACTAGGCATGAGTGTTGCCATCATCTCCCTCCATCCTCCCAAGGGCAAACCTGGAGGCCAGTCCCCAAGTATAAGGATTTAGGAGCTGCCTACAAGGATAGCTATTCTGTGGGTCTCCTTTCCTTGCTCCCACCAAGCTGTTCAGTGTCACCCAGAGAGCAGGGTTCAGAAGCTCCCTTTGGGGAGACCTCCCGTGCTCTGTGCCTGCTCACAGCAGCATGGGCAGGGGACTCCTGGGCCCTGAAGCCCTGCAGAACATCACCTACCATGGAGACACTTGCTCTGGGTGGAACAGCTTAAGCAGGTTCCCTGGTCTTGATTCTTGCCACTTGTTTTCAGCCACTGACTGGTTTTATCAAACTAGGCTGCAATCAGTGCAGCAGCCACAGGGAAGCTCTCCTCAGACCTCACTGTCTGTAAGGAAATGCCCAATGCCTTTTCTAAAAAAATTATTAATGGCTGCTTGCTTTTCTTTTCCGGCTTCTTAGACTTCATAGTCATCAGTGGCTTTGCAAATAGATGGCCACACCATATACATTTTTGTTTCAGAGTGCTGTTCAAAGCCAAGGCATCAATCCTCTGTGTGTGTGGGAGGGGTGGAGGGTACTGATCAACATATGGCATGGAAGATAGAACAGTACTAGTCTTTGCTATATCTCGCCTTTCATCCTGGGACATGGCAGTGCTCTGTGAAGAAGTCTCACGGAGCCCTCTTGAGGCAAGCAAGCATTATTGTCCGTATCTTCTGGATGAGAAAATCGAGGGTGCAAGGTGCCAGGCTGGAGACAAAACCCAGTGGGTTACTGCTGGCCCTTATCATAGCTGCAGAGCAAGGGGTCGCGTGTGCCAGAGCAGCGCTTTGGTAGCCCCCTTTGACAAGACAGGAGGGTGGTCTGTGTCTGTACTGCCGCAGTCCCGCACCCTGCCTCCAGATGAAAGAGAGACTCGTCCATGTCCAAATCCCCTCAAGGCTTCCGTATGGTTTTTTATGGGAATTTGAAGCTCACAGCAGCCTGCTCACAGTTATTCTGGCTCCTCTTGGCTAACATAGTTGACACCACCCCATTTAATGCACATAGCCCATGTAATACCCTTTTAGGCAAGGATTGTGTCCTGTGGCTAAGGTCATGACTGCTGTAGCAGCTAGCTGACTCATGGGAGATGCTAGAACTGCTTTGTGCAGAGCTGTCCTTTAGCAGTCCTGCTCTTCTCAGAGGCAGCACAGCCAGTTTGCGGCAGGAGATCCCGGTAGCAGGAGCTGATGATGGGAAGAGAGTTTCTTTGGGACTTCAGTCATTAGCAGCAATCGAATCTGCCCGCACAGCGCATCCGCAGGGTTAACAGCCAGCTCTGTCTCCAACTGCCACGTTTTACATGGCTGGTAATTAGGAGGTTACAGGATGCTGTTAGTTAGCAGCAGCACAACTTGTATTTCAAAGGTTAATTGGCTGGTTTGGAGTTCTCCCCCCCCCGCTTTATTTATTTATTTGTCTATCTCCAGCACGAATAAGCACTCCCACAGATGAGGAAAGCCAAGTACAAAGAAGAAGGCAATCCTTGCATTAATCTTCCAGGCAATTTCAATACATGATTTTGTTATGCATTCATTGCAGCTGACAATTCTCCAGAGTATCTGAGAACGTGCCATGGCACTGCAGCAACCAAGAACGAACAGCGCACTCCAAAAGCATAACCTCTGCCATGCCTTCGGGGCAGCGGGGAAAGATGCCTGGCACAGGCAGGTCCTAGTCCAGGAGCTGTGTTTCCAAGTGCCTGTCTGCCACCGAAAGCTGATACCTTTTTGTCCCAGAGTCAGCTGCTCTGTGTGCTTCACTGACTAGTCTGAAGAAATAATTGCTACTTCTTCAGTCCGCCTCAATTCCCTAATTGTCCAGTAGAAGGACAGAGTCCTGTTCATTTGTCCAAGAGAGATGCTGGCATTGTCCCTGCAGAAGGGTGAGCTCTGAATTCATCCCTGAGGAACCTTGGTTTAAGTTGTGAGGAGAGACCCCCACTTGGCTTCCCAGAGGTATTTGCAGAAGTAGCTGTTGGTACTTGTAATGATTCCACATAAAAGGCTCAATTTACATCAAATGGCACTAGAAATGCTATTTTATATTCGCTTCTCAGAAGAGATGTACAAATTGGTATTTGTTCCAAGCTATTGCTGTTCAAAGAGCTTTTAATTGCTTTTCTGATCCCTCATCCATGGCATGTTTTGTTCAGAGCAGCTGTCTTTAGAATAGGTTGGAGCTGACCTTGGTGGGTACCCAGTGGTCCACTGCTTATCAGTGTAAGAGGAGTACTGGTTTTGTGTAGCACATTTTATTTTATTATTCTGGAGTAAAAGTAATTCTGTGTGATTTAAGGTAGCAACTAGCTTCTCTAGTGATGTTCTATTTTAGCATTTGTCAATTTTGGCTTGAAAAATTGGTTTGGTCTGGAAAGCTCAGCACTTAGAAAGCAGAGGAGAATCTTTCAGCAGTGTTTGAAGCAAATTGACTCACAACTCAAAAGGAATTTAAGCACTAAAATATTATCCTGATCTGAGATTTTCACTTAGAACTTGTTCATTCTTCCAACTTTTTGCATGATCCAATTTTAAGAACTCACACACTGGCTAGTCTTGAGGCAAACAGATTCCCTCAGCCCAGGAT